CGGTGCCAGCCGAGGCACAAAGAGGTTCTGTGCTCAGATAAGCCGGGCCTCGCATGACCTCAGGGAGGAGAAAGAGCCGGAACACAAACACGGCCGACCTTTCCCGGGGAACAGCTCCCCACCGCCCCGGGCTCTGTGGCCGGGTGCGGATCCGCTCGCTCCGGCCCGCGGGCCCCTGCCGAGCCCCCGGAAGGGCGGGCGAGACCGCGTCGCGGGAAGAGGCCCAAGTGTGCGAATGACCCAGCTCCTTGGGGGCAGGCACCACGGCCCGCGTCTGGGACACACAGGGACGGCCAGGGCTGGCCTGGCCAGAGAGGCCCGCAGGCCAGGCGGGCGGACAGGGCCCTTCCTCCCCCAGGAGGTGGCATCGTGCTGGGCTCCCAAGGACGACTGAGGCCGCCGGACACAGGGGATGGGCGGGAAAGGCCGTGCAGGCCCCAAACACACACAGTGGGGTCCACACCCGGGGCGACAGGGCCAGGCAGGGGACAGGGTGCTGCTGGGGGCGGCCGTCGCACACGGGAACCTGGGACTCGGCGTTTGGGAGTGTTGGCCCCTTGGAGAAGACGGCACCGAGTTGGCGGCGGAACTGCCGGTCACGTCCTTGGGCCTGGCCTCCCTTTCCGTCGCGTGTGGAGTGCAGAGGGCGGTGGGCGGCGGCAAGTCCCTGTGTCCACCCACGGCGTCCTTCCTCACTTGTCTGCTGCTCCTGCGTCCAGCAAGGGGCTCTGCTAGGAAACGGGCGGAAGGGACTCTCCCGGGCCGCGACAGTGAGCCCCTCGGAACGGCTGGATGGCGGGTGACTGTCCCTCCTCTGCCAGCGTCCACGACGGGGTCGCACACGCGTATCATGCCACACGCGTGTGCTGAGGGGCGGCCAGGCGAGGGCGCTGTGTCCGTGCAGGAGGAGTCCCAGCATTTGCTCTCTGTGCGCCTCTCGACACCAGGCAGGGGTTGCTCACCTCCCACGGTGGATGGACGCCCTGCCCGTGTCCCCTGGGTGGCCGCGGGGCTGGCGGGGTCCGAGCAGACTGACCGTCGCCTGGTCAGCGGGGCTGGGAGTGGGCAGCGGCCGCCAGGCCCCGAGGAGGGACGACGCCCCAGGGACAGGGGGGCTCTGCCCATGGCCCCTGCCTCCCACTATGCTGGCCGTGGGGCATCTGCTGCTCAAACTCCAACAAAAATTCCAACAGGCTGGGCGCAGTGGCTCAGGCCTGTAATCCTAGCACTCTGGGAGGCCGAGGGGGGAGGATTGCTCAAGGTCAGGAGTTCGAAACCAGCCTGAGCAAGAGTGAGACCCCGTATCTACTAAAAACAGAAAGAAATTAATTAGACAACTAAAATATATATATAGAAAAAATTAGCCGGGCATGGTGGCGCATGCCTGTAGTCCCAGCTACTAGGGAAGCTGAGGCAGGAGGATTGCTTGAGCCCAGGAGTTTGAGGTTGCTGTGAGCTAGGCTGACGCCACGGCACTCTAGCCTGGGCAACAGAGTGAGACTCTGTCTCAAAAAAATAAATAAATAAAAAATAGAACCGTAGGGGCGTCCGTGCCTCTTGTGTGGTCGAGCACATTTCGCACAGAGAGGACTCCCATGCTCACGGGCATGACAGGCTCCGCGCTCACAGCCGAGCACCCTGGGGGGATCGGGGAACGGACCACAGACCAGCCTCTGGCTTCACGAAGAACAAAGCTCATTTCCCCTCCACTTCCCACCGACGTGCCTTCACGCCCTGGTGTGACCTGCAGCCCAGCACCCTTCCGTGGTGATGCCAGGTGCAAGGACACGGGTAGGAATATTCCTGACGACCAGGGCTGCCCCAGGAAGGCCGGGAGCCCAGCCCCACGCCAAAGGGGCTGTGAGCGTCCACAGGCCCCGCTGAGCGCAAACCAGCCCGCGGCCCTGCCAGCGCCACTGCCACCGCTGTCGCCGTGAGCGCCCCGGCTCTCGTCTCCTCCACATGGAAGAATGAAAGCAAGGGGCAGTGTTGTTTTTATTTGTTTATTTGAGACAGAGCCTCACTCTGTTGCCCCAGCTGGAGTGCCGTGGCGTCAGCCTAGCTCACAGCAACCTCAGCCATCCTCCCGCCTCAGCCTCCCAGAGAGCTAGGATCACAGGCGTGAGCCACCGCGCCCGGCCAAGTATTTATTTTCTTGATAGATTGTGTTTATGTTGGCTCCCTTTTTATTCAGTCGATGCAAAAACATTATACCTATTTGTCTAATAGGCTTCTTCATTTGTTCTAAAAATTTATTTATGACACCTGTTCACCCAACTCCTGTTTCGCTTTCCCCAGGGATCACGGCCCTCACGGGCTTCGTGTGCATCTTTTTGCTTGTGTGAACCCATGCGAATGGGTATAGTTTTGTTTCCGTGCGGTTAGCACCCTTTAAATATCCACTAAAATAGAAATTTCTTTCCCACCTCATGTAACAAAATGAGCTATCAGTGTTTTTAGAGTCCACACTTGATTAACTTTGCTGACGTTCTGTTCATCGCTGCGCTTATCCCTGCTGCGTGTTTCCCATGAGTCCCTCCCGGTGTGCACAGTGTTGCTGAAATTCATCCTTTAAAACTTCCTGTCAGGCCGGGCGCGGTGGCTCACGCCTGTGATCCTAGCACTCTGGGAGGCCGAGGCGGGCGGATTGCTCGAGGTCAGGAGTTTGAGACCAGCCTGAGCAAGAGCAAGACCCTGTCTCTACTATAAATAGAAATTAATTGGCTAACTAAATATATGTATATATATATATATATATATACACATATAAAAAAAATTAGCCGGGCATGGTGGCGCATGCCTGTAGTCCCAGCTACTCGGGAGGCTGAGGCAGGAGGATCGCTTGAGCCCAGGAGTTTGCGGTTGCTGTGAGCTAGGCTGATGCCAGTGAGTCCCAGGCACTCACTCTAGCCTGGGCAACAGAGTGAGACTCTGTCTAAAAAAAAAAATTCCTGTAACACAAGTCAATGAGTAGTAGACTCTCCCAGTTTTGATAATTTTTTTATGTCTGATATATCTTTATTTGACCTCCAATATTTTATGAAGGTTGAGCTAACATTCAGAGGTGAATGCTATTTCCCGCCAGTTTGTTAAAGGTGTTAATCCATTGTCTCCTGAAAGTAGGTGTTGCTGCTGTGAACTCTGCTGTCAGTCCACACCCACGTCCCTTGTGGTAAGGAGTCTCTGCTTTCTGGTAGCTTCTATTTTTTTATGTCTATCCTGGATGCTCTGCCGTTTACTATAATATTCTAGGACTGCATTTCCCTGTTTCGATCATTACTTGTTTGAAATTTAGATCTTGGATCTCATGTCTTTTTAATTCTGGAGCATTCTGAGCCAATATGTTGCTTTTTTGCCATTTTTTTTTAATGCTTTTCTTTTGGAACTTCTATTACATTTATATTGGAGCCTCTTCATCTATTCTCTGTGTGCACGTATGTGTGTGTGTGTGTGTGTGTGTGTGTGTGTGTGTGTGTGTTTCCTTTTGTTTTTCAGAGACGCTGCTGCACTCTGGTTGGTTTCCTCAATACCATTTCACTTCTAGATATGGGCTGGAAACTCTGAATCTATTCTTTTTTTCTTTTTTTTTCCTGAATCTATTCTTAACATCTCAATTTCTCCTTCAAAAATTTTTTGCATTTTCACTGATTTTTAGCAGTACTACCTTCCATTATACTAAGTCTCTTTTCTACTCTGTCCTGTCTAGACTTTATCCTGTCTGAGGAGTTTTTTATTTGCTCTATCATTCATCTCCAAGATTTATAACTATTTCTATTTCATATCTCCTTTTTAATGTCCTGACCAGGTCTAAATTTAAAATTTCTTATTCTTTCTCCTAGAATCTGACTTTAATATTACCAAAAAAAACCAAAACAAAACAAAACAAAAACCAAGAATAAAATTTCTTATTCTTTTTCATCTTTAGGCATCCTCATCATATTACTGCAATTTTAGCGTGCCTGTCAGACTTTGTTAGGTGGAATAAATTCCCGCACCAGTGGTTCATTTGTCGTCTGTCTTTCCCAGTGTGGTGTGTATTTGGGTAACTTGGAGCCTTGGCCTGCTGGCTTGTTTTAAGGCGAGGCTGTCGTGTCTGTGCATGTCTGCATTTCTTTGTCACCTTGCTGTCATCATTCTCTGCGCAGCAGCGTCTCATAGCCTCTGCCCCCGTCCCTGGTCCCAAGCTTCTGTTCTGCTGTGACAGTGAGGGTGTCACCGATGAAGTCACCCTGTCAGAGGACAGCGTGTCTCCGTTCTGCTCCGGAGGCTGCACTGATGCCCTCTCACTCCCTGCGCCCACGGCTCCCCGTTCAGTTATGACGAGCTACGGCCCCGGATGTGTCGGGAAGGGCTTCTCAGCCTCCTCTCCGGAGTCAAGGGTCCCCACCCATCGCCCCGGGAGCTGGACCCCAGGCCCTCTCTGCCGCCTTAGGGCTGGGAGCCAGGGGTCCTGGCCTCCGCCCCCTTCACCACTCTGTGCTTCTCTTCCATTCCTGGTTTTATGTAAGTGTGTGTGTACACATGCATATGTGCACACACACACACACCTGTCTTGGTTTTATATATATATATATCTCACCTGTCATGCTGTGTGTGTGGAGCACACAGGGGCCTCACTGCACACCTTGCTCAGGAGCATGAACATGCTCTTCAAACGCACATGGTACCTTGTTCTCCCCAGAGGGTCCCTCTTTTCCATGATGAATCTGAGGGTGAGTGACCTGCCCAAGGACACAGGAAGGTCGGCCGAGCCCCACGCCCCTCTGACTCCAGCCTGCAGACTCTGGCAGGTGCTCGTCAGTGGCAGAGGGGCCCGTATGGGACAGCTGAGTGGTGTCTGCTGCCACCACACACGGCCCCGCCCTGGCCCACACATGGGAGGTCTGCACACCCTCCCATGCACTCAGACTCAGTTCCTTCCTGGTGCAACCTGCAAGTCCGCTGTGCTGGACTGTGGCCTGTCTAGATGGTCCTTTGGGGACTGAACAAACTGTTATTCATCAACGTCCAACAATAATGACATTTTACCTGCTCCGTTGCAGAGCTGCCACGGTTCACGCCCAGGAAGGCGCCGGTCAGTCCCGGGAGCCAAGTGCCCTGGGGCACACGCCTGTAGCGGCATAAAGGGCCGCCGTGCGGGAGCCGGCACAGCCTCTCCGAGCTGCAGCGAGTGTCCCGTCGGTGGCCGTGAGCGCAGACCCCAGAGATGAAGACCCTGTTCCTGGCCATCAGCCTCGGCCTCGTTGCCACCCTGCAGGCCCAGGACCCCTCGGCCGAGGATGGGGAGATTGAGGATGTGAGGCCCAGACGGGGCAGGCGGGCGGGCCGGGGCTTCAGGACAGGCTGAGGCTGCTGGTTAGAGACCCGCATTTAGGGTCGGCACTAAACCCGACCCTGGGGGAACGGCCAGACAGCAGAGGGTGGGCCCAGGGTGCCAGGGCACTGGATTAGGAGGACGGGAGTCTGTGAAAGGTGGCTTTACCTGTCCCCCAGGAGTGAGGGTCCCGGGGTCCTGGCTGACTCACAGGGGCTGGGGGCGGCGTTGGTGGGTCTGGGGCAGGCGCTGGCGATGTCCTGGCTGGGTGAGGAACTGGGAAACGCTGCATGTCTCCAGCCCTTCTGGGCAGGGACAGATTCTGGGGCTGCAGACGAGGGAAGGGGGAGGCCCTGGAGGGGTCGCCCGGAGCCCTAATGAAGAGGAGCCTTCCCCAGATGTCAGGAAGGTGGTATATGAAGGCCATGACAGCCGACAAGCAGATGCCTGGGAGGAAGGTGCAATTTGTGACTCCCATGACCATCACGGCCCTGGAGGGGGGCAACCTGGAAATCGAGGTCACCATGGTGTGAGTGTCTGGGGCCAGGCGGCGGGGACCTGGGCTTCACCCAGGGGCCGGGGGAGGGGTAGGCAGGCCACGCTGGGGGGCCGTGCTCAGCCCCTCCTGAAACACTCAGCACCGGGCAGCTTCAAGGGCAAACGGTGCCACTGAGGGCGTCCCCGGATCAAACCTCGTGGCTGTGAGGGGCAGGGCACTGCCCACCCCGCCCGCTGCCTGGGGAGCACCTGCCTGCCGCGCAGGCCCCTTGGGGAAAAGGTGTCTTCCGCCCAGGCCAGAGTCAGCACTGGCAGGCTGGGCCTCGCAGGCTCTGCACTTGCAGTAACTGTCTGCTTTGGAGACCACAGGCACGGGCTTTCAGGATGACCGAGAGAGGAGGTGAGATAGCAGGGAGATACCAGGCAGGCAGATTCCTTTGAAATCCCTGTGTGGCTCCCACCTACACAACTCCCCACCTGTGTGGCTCCCACCTACACAACTCCCCATCTGTGAGGCTCCCACCTACACAACTCCCCACCTGTGTGGCTCCCGCCTGAGTGACGTCACACCTGTACGGTTCACACCTGTGCAGCTCCCACCTGCGTGGTTCACACCTGTGCAGCTCCCGCCTGCGTGGTTCACACCTGTGCAGCTCCCGCCTGCACGGTTCACACCTGCGCAGCTCCCGCCTGCGTGGTTCACACCTGTGCAGCTCCCACCTGCGTGGTTCACACCTGTGCAGCTCCCACCTGCGTGGTATAGCAGTGTCTGTGCTCTGGTCCTGGGGCCAACCCTTAGGAAGCCATTGACCCAGAAATGACCCAGATGTTTGCATTTTTCCCCCAAAGCCCCCACTTCAGCCTCTCACTGGGCCAGATTTGGTGATGTGGGCCTCGTCCCTGAATGTCTCCAAAAGGAAGCGGGCCAGCAGGAGAGGACGCTGGGGGGAAGAGGTCCACGAACTGTGGCTTAGGGCGCAGGCCCGTGGCCACAGATGTTGCCGGCAAAGCAGGCGGCCCGGGGCCCCCCAGCTCCAGCGAGGGTGGGGTGGGAGGCAGGCCCCGAGCAGAACCGCGAGAACTGCGGGGGCCGCCACCCGTGACCAGAGGGCCCAGCGGCTGCCAGAGAGGCAGCCTCCCAGGCCCCGCCACGGACCGGGGGCTTGTTGGACTTCGCGGGGCGTGTTAGCGGGGCTGCTCCGAGGCAGGGGAGGCACAGCCAGGACCCCTTTGCCCACGGAACTTCTGTTTTCCAGGGCAAACGGCCAGTGCGAGGAGATGCAGGTCGACCTCAAGAAAGCGGACAAGCCTGGCAAATACACGGCCTGTGAGTCCCGGAGCCTGAGCTGGGCCCTTTGTAGGGCAGGCTTCTGACACCATGAAAAGCCCACCCCTGGCCGGGCGCGGTGGCTCACGCCTGTAATCCTAGCACTCTGGGAGGCCGAGGCAGGTGGATCGCTCAAGGTCAGGAGTTGGACACCAGCGTGAGCAAGAGCGATACCCCTGTCCCTTCTAAAAAGATACAAAGAAATTAATTGGCCAACTAAAAATGTATAGAAAAAATTAACCGGGCATGGTGGTGCATGCCTGTAGTCCCAGCTACTCGGGAGGCTGAGGCAGGAGGATCACTTGAGCCCAGGAGTTGGAGGCTGCTGCGAGCTAGGCTGACGCCACGGCACTCCAGCCTGGACAACAGAGTGAGACTCTGTCTCAAAAAGAAACCCCGCCCTCCACTTCCCCCGGTCAATCTGACTTACGGATACAAACACCTGACCCCAAATGCCAGGTGTGGTGGGTTCGTCCCTGGAGGGACTGGGCCACCCAGGGCTTTCCCTGTGGTTTCGGACGTGTCCTGGCAGGAGCCAGGAGAAGGGTCATATTTGACCGGCAGTGCTGAGCACCCCAGGCTCCGGCCCCTGCGAACCTCTCCCCCTGAAACCTCCCTGTGACCCGCTGCTTTGGGCTGAGACTGGGGCTCAGGCCTGGTGGGGAACCTGGGTCTCTGGGAGCTCTGGGCGGCCAGAGGGGCTTGTGTGGGGCTGGGTGCTGGGGGGTCCCCCGATCCTCTGGGAAGGCGCAGGTGACCTACTCAGGCCTGGTGTCGCTGTCCTTCTGCAGTCTGGGGCATGCGCCGGGTGTCCATCATCAAGTCGTCTGTGAAGGACCACTACGTCCTCTACTGTGAGGGCAAGCTGTTCGGGATACAGGTCCGGATGGCGAAGCTCGTGGGTGAGCCCCGCTTCCCGCCCCCGAGTCCAGCATCAGGGTGTCCTGGTGCAGGTCCCTGCAGGAAGGAGCCGCCGCTGTGGGCACAGATGCGAAGGCCACACGTGCCACAGTGTGGGCGCCTGCAGTGCCACCCCTGAGCACCACCGCTGGGGGTGTCCGGCAGGGGAGGGTGTGAAGAGGGGTCTATGTGGAGAGGAGATTCCCGCTCCTGGGGTTACAGCCCCGACTCGGTGGCGCCAGCAGACAGGGGGCATCGGGGCCGCTCCCGTCTGAAGATAAGACCCCGGGAGGCCCTGTGTTCTCCCTGGTGCCGGGAGCGTGCAGAGGACAGAGGACAGAGTAGCGGGACAGGCGTGGTGCCCTGGTTCCCCCCGGGGGGAGACTCGTCTTCTCCACGCTGGGGTCCCGCCGCCCACCCTCCCTCCCGGGCAATGCTGGGGCCGAGTGGAGAGCGCGGCCAGCTTCTCCTGGTCCTGCTGCCGCAGAGCCTCGGGGCAGGTTCACAGGGCCCCGGTCCCCGTCCGGCAGTGGGCCGTCCTCCTCCCCAGCCCAGCGGCTCCTCAGCCCTCCAGGCTGGACGGAGGCGCCTGCGGCCCCCCAGTTCTGCGGGCCGCTCACGGCTCCTCCTGGTCGCCTGCAGGCAGAGACCCCGAGAACAACCAGGAAGCCTTGGAGGACTTTAAGGAGATTGCAGCGGCCAGAGGAATCAGCTCGGGACGCGTCACTGTGCTCAAGCAGACCGGTAGGAAGGACTCACTTGCTTTGCCCTCTCGTGTCCCCATGGCGGAAAGCCAGCAGAGCGACGTTGTACGGGAACGTGTTGCATCCTGTTTTGACTTTGTCCTTTTGGGGTCACGGGACATGCTGGCTGACGGAGGGCCCTGGGTCCCTGGGGGCTCCTGAGCCAGGTGTGTTTCCTTCTTTCTGCAGAAACCTGTCCTCCAGGCAACAAAAAGGTAAGTAACAGTTTTAGAGGACACTTGGGAAAATCCGAGTCTTGGGGCTCAGTGGCACTTGGAGAGGCCATGCGGTCTCTCTCCCACCCACCCCTGTCCCCCTCCCCCCGGGCCTCGGTGACCCCGGTCTGGGTGCAGCTCGTGGGCAGCTGGGAAACCCTCCGTGGCGAGCACCTCTTTTGCTGGGCGGCTGATGGGGGACAACGCCTATCCCCCAGGTCCCCAAGGGGCCTGCGGCCGGTGTGGGACTCAGATCCCTCCTCAGCACCCCCCACCCCTCTGCAGTCACGGTGACCCCGTTAGCTGATGAGTTGCTTGCAAGGTTCAGGCACGTGGCGGGCGTGCCACAGTGACTCGGGCTTCCTGGGTCCCACATGGCTGCGTGTCATTTGGGAACTGGAGGCTCAGAGACTTGCCCAAGGTCACCTGCCCAGGTGTGGGCAGAGCCAGAATCCAGAACAGCATCGGGTCCTTCCCTCACCCTCCCGCTGGCCTGAAAGCTCCTGTCACCTCTTCACACGCTGAGCTTTGTGGGCAGCCTGCGGGAAGGGCCCTGCTCTGTCTGCTCTGAGCTGGTGGCTGCAAACCGAGAGCCCTGTGTCCCCCTGCCCCCATGTGCCCCTTCTCTGTGTCCCCCCCCCCCTGTGCCCACACCCTGTGTCCCCCTGCCCCCATGTGTCCCCACCCTGTGTCCCCTGCCCCCATGTGTCCCCACCCTGTGTCCCCTGCCCCCATGTGTCCCCACCCTGTGTTCCCCTGTCCCCATGTGTCCCCACCCGGTGTCCCCTGCCCCCATGTGTCCCCACCCTGCCCCCATGTGTCCCCCACCCCCATCCTGTCCTCACTGACCCCGACTCCTTTCCAGGTCAGAGTGCACCTCGGCACCCTATGACGGCACCACCCAGCTCCTGTGTCCTGCGCAGGGATATGGGAAGAGTCCCCGGAGCCTGGCCAGCTGCACCCCCTCTTGCCACCCCCACTTCGCCCCGTACCCCCTCCCCTGGTTCTGCATAAAGAGCTTTAGCCGTGCCCAGTGACTCTGCCTGTCTGTGGGGCCCCTCGGGTGGGCTGCCCTGGGCGTCCCCTCGGGGGTCTGCTGGGAGGGGGAGGGGCGTGGGGGTGGGGCGCACCAGGGGACCCAGCCTCGTCCTGGTTCTCTGCAGTGGGTGCCACAGGCCAAGGGGCACGAGGGCTGGGCAAAGGTGGGTGTAGGCGGCTCTGCCGAGGGTCCCGTGGTGCTTCCTGCAGGGGCCACCCACGGGGCTGCAGGGCTGGGTGGCAGGTGCCGTGGGGGGGGGCAGGGCAGTGGCCATGGTGCTGCGCCAGTAAGACCTGCTCGCCCGGCCCGGCGCTCCCCACGGGCCCTCCCCTGTCCCTGGCACCTGTGAGGGAACAAACCTCTGCCCTAAACACAGTGGTGGCCACGACTGCCTTGCCACGCCCGAGGGAGGCAGATCCCGGCAGCCCACGGGTGCAGATCCTTGCGCTAGAAACAGCCCCTGGCTCAGCCCCCCTGCAGGAGGCCGGGAGGCCGGGTCTCGGCCAGCCTTCCAGCCCGTTGTCGGAGCGGCTCCTGCAGTAGCTCAGCAACTTCTGCGCGTAGGGTCGGGAAGAGCTGAGCTCCGCTCCAGGCTGCGCAGGGGCAGCGGGGCGCCCTGGAGGGAGCGGGGGCTCCTGGGGAAGTCCAGGGCTGGTCGGTGTGGGCGCGGTCAGGCCAGCAGTGTGGCCGTGATCTGAGTCATAGTGCCATCCTCCCGCAGAGCTGGGAGGTGTCGAGTACGTGTGTGTGTCGCGCGTGTGCACACGTGTGTGTGTCGTGTGCATGTGCAGGCGTGTACATGTGCACACGTGTAGTGTGTATGTGCACGCGCACATTTCGCACGTGTGCACGTGTGCGTGTCGTCTATATGTGCATTGCGTGTCGTGTGTATGTGTACGTGTGTGCCATGTGTACGTGTGCACATGTGTAGCATGTGTGTGAATGTGTGTGTGTTGTGTGCATGTGTGTGTGTCGCGTGCACATCCCGTGGTCATGTGCGATGTTAACCTGGGGGACCCTCGATGAAGGCGGCACGGAACGGCTTTTCTGAGTCTTAAAATCATCTCTCAAAATAAGAAGCTTGTTGACGTGGGCGCGACATCTGAACAGACGCTTCTCCAAGTGAGCGACAGGGATGATGAATGAGCCCGGGGAGAGTGCTCAGACCCACTCGTCACCCAGGAAACGTGAATCAGGACCACAGCGAGACGCCCCCGCAACCTAGCGGCACGGCTAACATCTCACTAAGTCGCAGCGCTAAACGCGGGCGGGGCTGGGGGGCCGCAGGACCCTCACCCACCGATGGCAGGGGAGACGCAAGGAGGGGAGTGGCCACTTTGGATCCCACGGGCGGTTTCTCCTGTTTCCGATTCCCCCTCTGACCGCCCCACCGCCGCCCCTCCTGAGTGTCGGCGGGCGGCTGGGGCGCCTGCCCTCACCTGGACGTGCGCGTGAGTGCCCGCCGCAGCTCCGCCGACCGGCGCCAATCCGAGAGGCAGCCCAGGTGCCCGTGCAGCGGGAACGGGTGAGCGGTCGCCGGGAATCTCTGTGCACACAGCAGGCTCCACGCAGAGCCAAAAAAGTCACACACGAGGCCAGGCCCCGTGGCTCACGCCTGTAATCCCAGCACTCTGGGAGGACGAGGCGAGAGGATCACTCGAGGTCAGGAGTTCAAAACCAGCCTGAGCAAGAGCGAGACCCCGTCTCTACTAAAAATAGAAAGAAATTAGCTAGACAACTAAAAACATATATAAAAAATTAGCCGGGCATGGTGGCACATGCCTGTAGTCCCAGCTACTCGGGAGGCTGAGGCAGAAGGATCACTTGAGCCCAGGAGTTTGAGGTTGCTGTGAGCTAGGCTGACACCACGGCACTCTAGCCCGGGCAACAGAGTGAGACTCTGTCTCAAAAAAACAGTCACCCACGAAAGGCCCCATCCGTGGGGGCCAAGGGCTGGTCTGGGGGCCTGGGCGGTCCTGCCCGAAGAGGGGCTCCGGAGAACCGTGGGGTGGGCCTGGTAGAGCTGGCAGCGGCAGCTAAGGGCAGACGGGCGGCACACAGGGCCTGCGCCCCCTTCCTGCGCCCCTTCCGCGCCCTCCTCTGCCCGCGCCCGGCCACAAGCCTCGCCCGTGACACCCGGGATGGACTCGCGATGCGGTTGAACCGCCCCGACAGCCACTCCACACCCTGCTCCGGGTGACACCCTCGCCCCAGACAGGGCGGGCGGCGTCATTCCCGGGGAGGGCGTGCGGCGTTTGAGGAGGCCGGGTGGGACGGCAGGGTTGGTCGGTGGTGGCTCGGGGCCGCCGGAGTTGGGCAGGGACAGGCAGCCAGCGGGGATTGCCGCCCGCCCCAGCCATGGCCCTGGACAGAGCGGCTCTCCTGCTGCTGGTGCTGGGCCTGGGCCTGGCCGGTGCCCAGAAGACGCTAGAAGAAGTGCCGCTGCAGCCGGGGTTTGAGGCGCGGAGGGTGAGTCAGGTCCACGAGACCTGGACATCAGAGTCAGGTGGGGGGCCATGATGGGGGCAAGACTCAGGCCCAGCCTGGCCCTGAGGAACCCTGGAGGCAGCTTGTGCCAGGCCTTGGCCACCTAGGCGGGCCAGCTCTGTCCTGCTCAGTGCACAGGCCGCCGGTTTCCTCCGGCCCTTCCTGCTCTTCCCGGCCCAGAGCCAGCCCTGAAGGCGGCCAGGCGGGGGCTGGGGAAGCAGAGCCCTCAGCCGGCCAGGCAGGGCCAGGCATCCGCCCAGGTAGCTCGAAGGGGACAGCCCTGGGGGCAAGGAGAGTGTCCTGTGCCTCCTCCCTGCAGGGCCCCCCTGCCCTCCTCTGGGGTCCCAATTAGGGCTCAGCTCCAGGGCAGGGTGGCCCCTCAGCCCCCCAGGACTGAGGAGGGGAGGAGCTGGGGGAAGTGGGGGCCCTGAGGGTGGGGTGGAGGCGAACACCCCCAGGAAGGAAGGAAGGGGGCTCATCCCGCCTGGCCCCGCAGACCAGGCCGGACGGGGTGGTGGGCAGCGGCAGGGTGCCCCACGTAGGGGCTAGCTGGCCCCGCGGTCCCCGTAGGTGGAGGGACGCTGGTTCACCCTGCGGCTGGCGGCCAGCCACGGGGACCTAGTGTCCCCGACGGACCCCCTGAGGCTCGCTCTGCACTCCATCCATGTCGAGGACAAC